TAGACCGAAAAAACTCTGAATCTCTGTAGCTGAAGTAGGTCTAAGCCAGTTCTGAATAGCCTCAATCTTCTTAGGGCCCATTTTTATTCTTCTAGCGATACAACATGCCCCAAAAGTCAACTAAGTCTAACCAAAACTCACATTTTGAAAATTTGGCATATAATTGATTATCCCTCAAAGTCTGAGGCACAATCCGAAGATGTTGCTCATGCCCCTCTCAGCTACTAGAGTAAATCAATATGTCATCAATGAATACAACCACAAAGGAATCCAGATAGGGCTTGAACACCCGGTTCATCAAATCCATAAATGTTGCTGGGGCATTTGTCAGCCCAAATAACATCACTAAAAATTCATAGTGCTCATACCAAGTCCGAAAAGCCGTCTTAGGGACATCAGATGCCCTAATCTTCAACTGATGATAGCCAAACCTCAAAACAATCTTCAAAAATACCTTGTCACCCTGAAGCTGATCGAATAAGTCATCAATTCTCGGCAACGGATACTTGTTCTTGATATTAGCCTTGTTCAACTGCCGATAATGTGTACACATCCGCATTGAACCATCTTTCTTCTTCACAAACAACACTGGTTCACCCCAGGGAGAGACACTAGGTCTAATGAATCCCTGATCAAGCAAGTCTTGTAACTGCTCCTTCAATTCTTTCAACTCCGGCGGGGCCATACGGTATGGTGGAATAGAAATAGGCTGAGTTCCCGGAGCCAAATCAATACAGAAGTCAATATCTCTATTGGGTGGCATCCCCAGCAAATCTGCAGGAAATACTTCTGAAAATCCACCAACAACTGGTACTGAGTCCATAGAAGGAACATCCGCATTGGGATCGCGAGTATAAGCCAAATAGGCTAGATACCCCTTCTCGACCATACGCCGAGCCTTCATATAAGAAATAACCCTACTGGTAGAATGACCAGGAATTCCTTTCCACTTTAATCGAGGTAACCCATGCATGGATAAGGTCACCGTATTGGCATGACAATCCAATATAGCATGATAAGGTGACAACCAATCCATACCCAATATGACAGTCAAAATCTACTATGTCGAGAAGTAGAAGATCCACACTAGTCTTAAGACTCCCAATAGTAACCACGCACGAATGATAGACATGATCTACCACAACAGAATCTCCCACCGGTGTGGATATATATACAGACGAACTTAGAGAATCACGAGGCACAACCATATATGAAGCAAAGTATGAGGACACATAGGAGTAAGTAGATCCTGGATCAAATAGAAGTAAGGCATCTCTATGGCAAACTGGAACAATACATGTGATCGCGGCGTTGGATGACTCGGCCTCAGGCCTAGCTGGGAAAGCATAGAATCAGGGCTGGGCCCCACCAGTCTGAACTATATCTTTGGGACAAGCAATAGCTCGCTAGCCTCCACTTCAAATAGTCTGACCTCTACCTCTAGCAGTCTGACCTCCACCTCTAATAGTCTGACCCCTGCCCCTAGCTGGTCGGGCGGGCGGTGGAGAAACCGGTGCTGGTATGATGGCACGAGAATTTTGCTGATATTTGTTGCTTAAAAACCTAGGGAAATGCCTCCTGATGTGACCAATGTTCCCACACTTATAACACCCATCCTGCTGTCGTGGCTGCTGAAGCTCAAGCTGACCCGAACGGGTCGGATAGCTGCCATAGTGACTCTGGAGTGGTGGTGCACTAATAGGAGCTGAATGTGCACTGAATGTTAGTTGTCCAGGGTAAGGAACATACAGACCTTGACTCCCTGAAGCACCGTGAGAAGTCTGAAGTGCTGAATAAAATGGCCTGGGAGGATGACCCCTACCATAAGTACTCCTGCCTCCAAATGAGGCACCTCTGAAATTAGCGGAATAGCGGGGTCTCTTATCTGACACTGGCCCTCTCTCCTGTGAAAGAACTATCTCGATCCGCCTGGTGACATTAGCAGCCGTCTGAAAAGAAATCTCACTACTGGTCTCCTTGGCCATCTGTAGCTTGATAGGTTGAACGAGTCCATCAATGAACCTCATCACCCTCTCTCTCTCGATAGGAAGTAGAAGAAGAGCATGACGGGCTAGATCTACAAAATGGGTCTCATATTGAGTGACTAACATACTGCCCTATTGGAAACGCTCAAATTGCTTGTGATAATTCTCCCTCAGTATGATAGGAAGGAACTTCTCCAGAAATAGCTGCAAGAACTGATCCTAGGTAAGTGCAGGCAAGCCAACTGGTCTAGTAAATACATAATCTTTTCACCACCTCTTGGCGAAACCAGTCATTTGAAACACAGCAAAATCAACCCTATTGTTTTCGACTATCCCCATGTTCTGCAATACTTCATAGCGGCGGTCAAGAAAATCCTGTGGGTCCTCAGAAGGTGTACCACTGAAATGGATTAGAAATAGCTTGGTAAACTTGTCCAACCTCAACAAAGCCTCAGAAGACAAAGCAGGCCTATCACCGGCATGTGCTGCAATAACTGGTTGAGCTACCCCAATTGGATGGGCTACTGGAGCCTGATACTGGGGAGCTGTCTGCCCCAGAGCGGGAGTAGTGGGAGTTTGTGCTCCTCCCCTAGCCTGTGAGACGGCTGGTGCCACTGAAAATATACCATTTTGGGCCACACCCTCCATAAGACTCACCAAACGGACTAAAGCGTCCTGAAGTACTAGAGTAGCTATGAATCCTTTCGGAACCTGAACTGGTCCAACAGGTACCGTCTGAGCTGGAACCTCCGCTTCTAAATCCACCTGAGATTCTACAACAGGTGATGTTGCTCGAGCTCTAGATTGAGCTCTGTCTCTGCCTCTACCTCGGCCTCTGGCGCGACCTCGGCCTCTGCCCCTAGTCGTAGCTGTCACTGGGGGCTCTGGCTCCTGTCCGACTGTAGATACAGTGCGTGTTCTCGCCATCTGCGAGAGGATAAGAATAGAAGAGTTCAATCGTCAATGATAGAATAAAATCGCACGACAGAATAGAATAGAAGTGAAATTATTCCTAAACTCCATAGCCTCTGGAAGATAAGTACATACGTCTCTGTACCGATCCTTCAGACTCTACGAAGCTTGTTGGTGACTCGTGAGACCTATGTAACCTAGTGCTCTGATACCAACTTGTCACGACCCGAAATTCTCACCTTCGAGACCGTGATGACGCCTAATATTTCACTTGCTAGGCAAGCCAACGTTAGAATAATTTTAACCATTTTTTTAACAATTTAATTTAATTAATAATAAAAAAACTAATAATTGGAATAAAATCTGAAATAAAGTAAGTAAACCATAATAATAGCGATGTCTAAATACCATCCCAGAACTGGTATCACAAGTGCATGAGCTACTAGAATTAGGGGTGGGCGTTCGGTTCGGTTATTTTGTTTTCGGTTTTGTAAAAGTAGTAACCGAAACGGAACTGAAATAAGTTCGGTTCAGTTCGATTTTCTAATTTCGATTCGGTTTTCGATTAGAACATTATCATATTGGGCTCTCTCTATGTAATAATTGGACTGACGAGTTTGTTGGTTTTGTTTCAAAATTTCGATAAATTAGACTGAAACCAACCAAAAATTTGTTGGTTTGCTAATAATTCGGTTTTTCGGTTAACCGAACCAAATAAATTAATAACCGAAAAACTAAAATTTTAAAATTTTAAACCGAAACTGACCAAAAAAATCGAATAACCGAAACCAAAATAAAAATATTTTCGGTTCGGTCGGTTTTTTCGGTTCGGGCCGAAATATGCCCACCCCTAACTAGAATAATACAAATAAGGGTCTGAATGAAAATAAAGTTGTCTGACAGAAATACACAGCTAAAATAAAGTAGATGGGGACTTCAGAGCTGCGAACGCCGTGCAACTATACCTCAAGTCTCTTGTGGATAGTTGAATCCGAGCAAATCTATTGTACGTCGTTGTGACCAACTCAGATATCTGCACAAGAAGTGCAGAGTGTAGTATAAGTACAACCGACCCCATGTCCCCAGTAAGTGCCGAGCCTAACCTCAACGAAGTAGTGACGAGGCTAAGGCAGGTCACTTACATTAACCTGTACGCAATAATAATAATAACAACAATATAGGAAAACAGGAATTAGAAATTAAACCGGTAAATCATATCAACAATCAAGCCCTCGGCAGTCATAACCAATTATTACTTAAATTACTTTCCGTTGCGGCGTGAAACCCGATCCCACAATATATTCATATTCAATTTCGTTGTTGCGTGCAATCCGATCCCATAATATATTCATATTCAATTTCGTTGTTGCGTGCAACCCGGTCCCACAATATATTCATTTTCATTTAATTTCGTTGTGGCGTGCAACCCGATCCTCAATATATCTTTTCAATCAATTCTGTTGCGGCGTGCAACCCGCTCCTCCAATATATTCACTTTCAATCAATTCTGTTGCGGCGTGCAACCAGCTCCTCCAATATATTCACTTTCATTTCTGTTGTGGCGTGCAACCCGCTCCTCAATAATATAATTTATCAATTCTTATAAAAGAAATTATTTCAATAAATGCAACAATTAATATGAAATTGTAAGACAACAAGCATATAATAATTATGATTTATTTGGAAATAAGTGATGACAAGTAGCAATTAATTGTGGAAATTAAGGAGGAAATATGCAATTTAATATTTAGTATGCTAAATGTCAAGTAACAATTAAGTCACATAAATTAAATAAGCATGTAGGAAATATAGCATGGATTCAAGGCATAATATTGAGCAAAGAATATGAGAGAAATAATTAATATAATAATTAATTCATGATTTAAAATAAATTATGATTTCCAGATAAATATGTAAACAATCAATTTGACGATGTATATGCACTCGTCACCTCGTCTATACGTCGTTACACATGAAATTCACGTAACAATCAAGTCAAGGTTAACCACGACACTTACCTCGCTTCGTAACCAAAATGAATATTTTGTTCCTCAACATTTCGAGTTCTTAGAACACATAAATAAATATTTAAAATTAAAGATACATATTGGGTTATCACATTTAGCTATGGGTATATGGAGGAGAACAAAATGCTGGAAACAGATTACCCATGTGTTGAGCCTCCGTTCATTTTGACTAAAGACCGAAGCTAGAGATATTGAAGACGAGAGGGTCACTTTATCAGGGATTGAATCAGAGTCTAGTATCGAAAACATGGAAAATTGGGTCAAAGATGTGCCTAGGGAAATCGAAGGTGAAAATGCAGACAAGGTGTTTGCTGAAATTTTCAGTAATATTGAATCACCACCCATTGTTTCCAAGAGCATCCTAGACGTAGATGTTTTAAAACAAAGTGACGGAGATGGGGATACACGAAGAGAAAATATAGTCGAGTTGGAAGATGAAAACAAAACCTCGGATATTTCATACTATGATGCATCCCTAGAGGTTAAAATTGAGTATGAGGAACACTCAAAAAATAAGGAAGGCAAGGTGATCGATGAATTTCCTCAATGAGATGTCGTCGGATTTCTAGAGGCACTTTGCCCAAAGAGAAGGGATGAGAAAGAGAGTTTTGTGAAAATTGCCTCGCAAGGCTTAGAGCATGATTTTCCAATGAATTTTAATAAGATAAACAAAAAACTCTTGACTTGACTATGATAAAGGCTAGTGTTAGTGAAAGAATGGAGATTGCCGATAAGGTTGCTATTATTTCTAAAGCCAAAACACTGAGTGCAAATGCTCATGTTTTCTCTTGTATGCCGAAAGTGTCATTAATGGATCCTGCCTATGGTTTTGGGCAAATTCACTTCATTTCTTCTAACGTTGGATTGAAATTTAATGGGGTCATTGAAAGTTCTGTGATGGATAAGTTCTACAACTGTGACGAATCTTATGTGTTCCTTGTGAATTCTTTGGTGATGACTATATACTCAAATGTGGGAAGGTTTGGTTTGGCAAGCTACTGAGTAGAATTATGGCTCACGGAAATCTGATGTTAGACTTTTATGCTTGGAGTGAGGAACAAAAGCTTTGTAAGGGTGCCATGGGTGGATCTAAAGATGATTTGGATGATTTGAGAAGGATCTTTTATCGAATGGATGAGGATGATGTCATGTCTTGGACTGATAAGATATGTACAAAGCAGATGTTATGATATGGAAGCCATTAATTCTCTGATTAGCATGTATGCCAAGTGTGGAAGGATGGAAGAAGTCTGGAAAGCTTTTGAACTTTTTAGCCAGATAAACTCTAAAGTTGGTGTTATTTTTCCTCTACTTGCATTTGATTTGGAGTTCTCAGCAGCAAAGCGTCATAGTATTCGAGTTTTTGCTGTGCTAAGAGGATTACTCCAAATATTTCTCTTCATATGTTTGTTTGGATCAACAACTTTGTTATGCAGTAGGGAAGCGTCTAAAGGAGTTTTTGTTGGCGTCATCTTATCAATGTTGTTGATAGTAGTGAAGATGAAATCCCTAATGAAAATAAATGGTGTTAACACCCTTTACAGAGCGAAATTTATGCAGGATTGCATAATGGGTTTATTCGCACTGCTCCCTATTAGCAGTACTTCTGGTAATCTTCAAGGTATGATTTCTATGACAAACTTATTAGTGGTGCTAGTCGCATTCTTGACCATTTTGTTGGTACTATGCTGCACCTGCATACCTTGGTATGTTAGGTTAATGAATGGCCGATCTTCAGAGTCTAAGGAATCGGATCAACTTGCATATTTGGCTTTCTGTTTGCTTCCAGCTGGGGGTACTGATGTGTTAACTTTGATTCTTGGATTAGGTTTTTTAGATATTGAAATGATTATATCATCAGTTGGTGTTACTCGATTAATTCTTGATCTGGTTAAACCAAAGCAGTACTTCTTTATTGCTTGTTCTCTAACCAGCACTGAAGTATTCATCCATGAACAATTCCTTAGAGATAACTCAGAAATCTTACGGATAATTGATGTGTTGGGCTTCATTTTACTTATATTGGTTGCAGCAGTCAAATGTTGTGATTATGAAGATTTAACTCCATTTCTTTATGACATGTCTTTGCCAGAATAGTTAGTTTTTATTGTTTAAAGTTTCAGTTTAGACTTTCATCACTTTGAGGGTGGAGTATATAGACTATATTTGAGTCCACATACACTTAGTCTGGTGTCCAAGATATATGATGCTAGCTACCTTCCCGCATATGCTATGTTTCCTAAAGTATTAGCTTCAACATGGCTAAAGACATCACCGAGGCAGGGAGAAGAACTTTATCAATATGATGAGATCTGGAATTTGGCTAAGGTTCAAGGAGCATGTTTTGCAAAATGGAATTTTAACTTCCCTTATAAGTTCACTGAGTTAATGATTTTTGTTGATTTAAATAGCAGTTCTACAATGGATGATACGTCTCAAATTGTTAACAACAACAATTCAGTTAGTGTTTCTACTGTTATGCAGTTGGGCAACTCTGGTAGAACTCATGATCATGTATTAAAGATGACTAATAAGGACAGTATTATCAGTAGATGGTAATTTTCACAACCTGGGATATATGGGCAGTGTTGCCAGTTAGTTTCAAGACTGTTCTTAGAGAGAACTAAAGAAGTCTTTGTTGTTGTTCAATGGACTTGCAATTCTCATTGTGAACATTTATAATATGCATCAGAAATTTGACAGCTGCAAGCGTGATGAAGTAGGGCTCACCACCAATCCATTTATGGGAACGAATAGTTGTTAACACTCATGCCTTCATCAAGGAATCATTTCATAATTTCTTTGGCATAGTGTTGAAATGGTTGTTGAAATGGTTTCCATGTTTTCTTTGGCATAGAGTAAACTATTCGACAAAGTTGTTGAAATGGTTTTCTTTTCATGTTGTTAAAGTGATAGTAAAGCTTGTGGATACTGGAAGGATACTGATGTTACTCTTACCCTTGTTTAACTCTTCCCTTGTTAAAGTTGTACTCTGGAAGCACAGGCCAAGCATGTTTACTGGAAGGTGAAAGTACTGCATGTACTAAAGTGAGCCATGGAGCAGGTTTTGAAATATTGGGAAACCAAGGATTTCTAATTGGAGCAGTAAATTGTAAAATGCTTCATTGGATTTCAGTTTTCCATGTCAAACCTTATGGACAAGGTTGCTTAAAGGGGGATTGAATGTTGCGAAATGAAGGCTCAGCTTGGGTCAAATTGGGTGTTTTGCGGGTTGTCATAGATACGGGCTGGTTATAGTTGAAGCCCAAGTCTGCAGAGTCCGAGTTCAGAGCCCAAGTTCCTTTTAATTGACAGCTTAGCCTCTTAGTCAGCATTTTTATCTTCTTGTTATCTTTTATTCGCTAGAGGACAGTTGTCCAACGATTAAGCAAATTAGTTACTAGTATGAGGTCAGCTATTTTAACTTTTAGTATTGAAATATTCTAAGTGTAATCTTTTTCCAATAGCTTTGGATGTTGAATAAAATCTGAATTTTAAGTTTTTAATTTCTTTTCTCCTTTTCTAGTTTTTCCTTTCAAGGAGGGATTGCGAATCCACTTGAAGCTCCTAAATTTAAAATTTATTTTGAAGATTTGATGTTTAATTCAAAGTGGGTGTTGTAAAATATTGCTTATAGTACCTTCAGGAAGTTTATAGTGAAATTTGGTCGTATTTGAAGCTGATTTGAGGTGATTGAGGTAGAATTTTTTAGCTGAAAATCAAAGAAGAGCATAGTTACCCAACAGTATACCGCTATGGTATATAATATGTTATAGTAGTATATAGCTACTGCAACAGTATACCATTATAGACTACTGTATATAATATGTTATAGTAGTATATAGCTACTGCAACAATATACCATTATAGTACACAATATACTGCAATAGTATACTGTAATAATCGAAGAAGAACCCAGTTACCTAACAGTATACCGCTATGGTATACAATATACTATATGAGTATATAGCTATACTGCAACAATAGACTGTTATAATATACAATATACTATAATGGTATACTATGATAATATGCAATATACTGCAACAATATGTTGTATTAGTATACAATATACCGTAATACTATACTTCGACTGCAATTTGTTGAATCATCTAGGTGCTATTGTGCAAAGCTAAAGTCATGGTTATAGTAACATTATGTTGTTATAGTATACAATATAATATAACAATATATCATAATAAATAAGTCATTTTTAAAAAATTTAAATTTTTTCCAACTATGTCCTTGCAAATATTATCTTAAAATAATTTTTTTGATGGAGTTCCATGAAAATATTATTCATTGTATACGAAGTGGGTGTCGAAAGACATAAAATAGTAATATACTTATTTGATATATTTATATGCAATTTTAGTATACTATTGTGACAAGTATTTTTCAATAACATTAAATACTAATATGCCATTTTATTATACTAATATACTATTTTATTATAATAAAATATAATTTTGGATCCTATGCGCTAGAAATATTTACAATAATACATATATTTAAAAAAAATGCAATGAAAAAAAGAGAAGAGAAAACAGGTATAATGTATAATTTGTTCTAATAATTGATTTACAAAATTAAAAAAAGAGAAAAAGAAAGACAAATAGTATATTATGCTATCAGTTATATTAAATAAGGTGAATACATATTTACTAAATCAGTTATCTTTTATTATTATATAAAAAAAAAAGATAAAGAAAAGGAGCAAAAAAGTGAATGTAACTAGATTATGTAGAAAAAAAGTAAAAAGAAAAAAAGAGCTAAATTAGTTTAGATAAGGAAGAAGAAATAAAGAAAATGAACAAAATGAAAGAAAAAAAGAGAAAAAATAAAATAAAAGAAAAGATACAAAATTGAGTATGGACTCAGATTATTTGAAAATAATAAAATAAAGAATAATATGATTTAAAAAAACAGAAAAGGAGAAATAAGAAAAAAAATAAAGAAAAAGGAGAAAAAATAGTCAATTACCCACAAAAGCTACAATTTGTAAAAAAATATAATTTGTTTAATGAGTAAAAAGATAAATAGATAGACACGGTTAATTATTGGTTTTTATGGGTAAAAACTTCCATGATTAAAAGTCCTAAATCAGCCTCTGCTCAAAAGTATAATCAAAATTCAAAACACTTATCTTTATACCTTATCATACATATTGTGTGCTTAGTATCTTATATTTATGTCTTGCCGAATACCATAAAAAATTATTGGAGAAGTAATAAAAATATTTTATATGACAATTATTTTTCATTGAAACCAAAGGCACCCTAATAAATTTTAGGCTTTTTTGTTGGGTTATGTTTACCAGCTTATGCGTATCTTGGTATTTATTTTGTAATTATTACAAAGTGATATAATTATAGTAAAAAATCCTAGTCAAGAATAAAACTTAAAGGTGCTGAAAAAAAAACTTATATAGGACAGGTGCCGGGAGAAAACCGCACCTTATTACCATTTCTTTTATTGTGGAGGTCCCCACACGTCCCTTAAATCATTTTTAGCGTTGAATTAAAATACCCGCAATAATATTTCCCATTTTCATCTGCTATTCTCACTGTTGAACTTCTAACATCCTACTTTGTCTTACCTCCCAAAGATTCAGCCATAGACTTTGTGCTCGAGATTATCTGCGTTCATTTTTCATGAGATTTTTCTGATATATAAAGTGAGAAACAAGTGAAGTGAAGTTTGAAGGGCAGTAAGTAAATAGATGGAGTCAAAGTCATTGAGACTGATAACCCATCAATCATTTTTCAGAGCCATTGGATCTGGAGACCTTGAGTCTCTCAAAAACATCATCAATAATGAAGGGTTGAATCCATCTTCTTCTCTGTTGGCCTTACAGAACGATGCAGGTGAAACTGCTTTGTATATCACTGCTGCCAATAACTTCCAGCAGATTGCAAGTTATTTGCTTGGATTCTGTGATTTGGAGACTGCGTTGATCAGGTCCAAAGCTGATTTTAATGCCTTTCATGTTGCTGCAAAAAATGGCCACTTGGGTATGTATATGTTCTTTGCTCTTTTAAACTATTGCTATTGTTCAAAAGCTACCTGCTAACAAATCATGTTCTTGATTACTTTTTATGTGTGTAGAATTGTGTGTTTAGATGTACAAGTATCCTATGATCAGTTTTTTTTTGGGGNNNNCCCCCCCCCAAAAAAAAAAGGAAAATAGCATGTGTTTCGTTACTTACAATTTCAAATTTTCAATTATGTTTCATTGGTCTATTGATAAGCTAGACCTATTTGATCTTCTGAGATCATATACAATCCAAGTATCGGATCCAGGTGCTTGTGATACTTTCTATTCTTTGAAATGACAGTGGTGATGTTCGTGTTTCTATTGCTGTTCAATCGATCGACTAATCCTCAGTCTCAAAACTAATTGGGTCTACTTTATTGCAGTAACCAATAATAGGACTTATTTTTCTATTAATGTTCCTTAATTGAGAAATTTAAGAGCTAGCAAGAAGTACCTGACATGCTCTATTGTGAATTCTTACATTTTGGCCTTTACTGCTGAAGCTTGAGTACCTTGCTAGTCCCAATGTTTGTGTATTTTGGAGGATGCTTGTCGGTATAAAGCTTATTCTATCATCTACAGGTATTGTGAGGGAACTTTTGGCAATGTGGCCTGGACTTTGTAAAGTATGCAATGCCTCAAATACAAGCCCTCTTTATTCAGCTGCCGTCCAGGGACATTTAGATGTTGTGAATGCCATTTTAGATGCAGATGTGAGCTCCATACGAATTGTTAGGAAGAATGGAAAAACTGCACTGCACACAGCTGCTAGGTATGGCCTTCAACATATCGTGAAAGCACTTATAGAGCGAGATCCAGATATAATATCCATCAAAGATAAAAAGGGTCAAACTGCACTTCATATGGCTGTTAAAGGTCAAGATACTTCTGTGGTGGAGGAAATACTGGATACAGACAACTCAATATTAAATGAGCGTGACAAGAAGGGCAACACAGCTTTGCATATAGCCACACGGAAATGTCGTCACCAGGTATCTTTTTATCTATTTTGTTGAAGTTATAACATGACTCTTGCTATTCTGAATATCATGAAGTTAAGGGTTTTCTTTTGCATTTAATTTCCTGGGCAATGCATTTTATTCGTGCCTAAAATCCAGTTCTTAAACTGTCAATGTTTTCTTAATCTTTTCTTTTTCTTCTCAGTAATTAAATTAGGGAATAGAGGTTTATGCAAGATAGATTTCCTGGAGAATGATGTAGAATTAAAAGAAGGAAAAATATCACTGGTTGCAGAATCTTGCAGAAAGTAGGGGCTGAAGTTTAACCGGGAAGCTTGCAACATTGCAGTAGATGACTTCTATAAGGACCTTCATTGGTTAGACTTGGATATAGATAATGCATAAAGTAGAGAAAAGAGCTAGTGTTGGGAATGGTGGTAGTTAGTAAGGAAGAAAGGACGAGAAGTGAAAAAAGCAAATAAAATGAGAAAAACATGTTTTAGTGAAAGGAAACTAAGACCGTGCAGCCAAGGGTGTGGCTTGGTTATCAATGAAGTGGGTTGAGAATCTTGAGTTCTTAGGTTCAAATCCTAGCGGAGGGAAAAACACTAGGTGATTTGAACCCATCTATCCAAGTCTTGGTGGACAAATTACCCGGTACCTCTGACTGTGGAAGGTAGAAGGTACCTCATGGAAGTAGTTGAGGTGCGCGCAAGTTGGCAGGGACACCATGGTTATAAAAAAAAAGTGAAAGGAAACTAAGACCTTCATTTACACACACAATGCACGTGGAATATGTCTCTATTCTACAATGGACATGCATGGGTGATAGGACCATAAAACATTTCCTATTGATGTAGGATCCATGCTATGTGATTTGGGCTTCCAAGTAATTATATTTTCTTGTCATGCTTTTGCTGCCATATCAGGTATACAAGGTTTTCTAGTGTTCAACTGTACCAGAAAACTATTGTATGTTACAATCTTTGACTATAAGATTCTTAAAAGGTGCTTGCCAAGGCTAGTGGAAAATGCGCCTTAACAATATTTAACCTTGTATACTTGATCAGTAGATATGTTTTGTAATAATATTTGGAGCATGTCATATAACGCTTAATTATACTAAGTACCATTAAGTACTTCTTTCTTCATTATTTCTCTTTAAGAACTTTCATAAAAACATCACAACTTGTGATTCACAAGGGGTACTTCTCAGCAGTTTTCTACTTGGAAAATGTAGATGTTAAGAGCAGTGATGTGGATGAAAAGACTGCTTTGTCCGAATATAAATTGGAGTACTGGTGTACGTGTTCCCACTATCTGAGGGCACAATTGATTTAAGTGAATTTGGAGCATGCTACTCAATTTGGAGCATTGCTATTGAAGTTCTAGTCCCCATAGTAGTGAGCATCTTCATGTAGGAAGTGTGTTACATCAATCCCTTCTTTAGTTATTGTACCTGAATCAAATGGGTACGATATAGGTGTAATTACTTTGTGCAGATTCTTTA